TGGAGGGATGGGTGTTTGATCATTGTATAATCGAAACCCAAGCACAAAAATGTGTAAGTCTACAACTGTACCTCATGGTGCCTCACTATTAAAAAATAAATAAATAAATATAAAAAAAAATAAAGTACATTTGTTGGTAGGCAGAGATCCAACACTGAGCTGTTTAGAATAAAACACCATGTGAATTTTCAACTTCAAGTACAATAAAAATTTCAAACTTCAGTTAACTAGAATATTTCTCATCTCTTTGAGAAAGTTTATCCACTGATAAATTTTAATGTTTGGTTCAATTTAAATGCTTACATTTTTATTTAGTATTACCAAAGACATGGGCTGGAGCTATAGCACAGCAGGTAGGTCGTTTGCCTTGCAAGCAGCCAACATGGCCAACCGAGTTCAATTCCTCCACCCCTCTTGGAGAGCCCAGCATGCTACCGAGAGTATCTCACCCGCACGGCAAAGCCTGGCAAGCTCCCCCTGACGTATTCAATATGCCAAACACAGTAAAAGTGTCATAACAGAGACATTACTGGCCACGCTCGAGTAAACTGATGAACAATGAGAGGACAGTGACAGTGACCAAATACATGTTCTAACTGTATTGTAAATCAAACTGATTTCCCTTCAAATTATAGGAAATAAAAAAAAACTGCCGGGAGAAAAATGTGCACCTTTTGGGCAGTACGGGGGTTTTGAGTCAGAACCAGTGATGCTCAGGAACAACGCCCAGAAATGGGGTCGCCCACATGCAAGTGCCTTAATGCCTATACTATCTCTCTGGCCCTGAAAACACATTTCTTAATTATACTTTCCTAATAATTACCAAATACTGTTTTTTATAAAAATAAGCCACTTGTCTCTTGAATGTGACTTTATAAATCTATTGTAAAAAATCGTATGTCTTCATCATAAGATACAAAAGGAAAGTAGAGTTATTCCTTTGGTAATTCTGAAAAGATCCAAAGGTACTTGCATTATCTTACTCATTTAGAGAACATTTCAGGACCTGCTAATATTCCAAGTAGTAAATGAAAAATAAAGACCAATTATACCCTCAAAGAACTTTGGAGTTGTAAAGTAGTATCAATAAAGTCTTTGAAAACAATAGGTTTAATCTTCAAAAGTGGAACACAGCTAAGTATTTCACTGAATGGGAGAATTAACATGGGGTTACAAGTTTAAATTGCTGAAACTGGAGAGATAGTACAGAGGGAAAGGTGCTTGCGTTATATGCAGCAGACCTATGTTTGATCCACAGCACCCCACATGCTCCTATGAGCTCCACCAGAAGTGCTATTTTAATGCAGTGCCAAGGTAAGCCCCTCCAAAAAAAAAAAAAAGAAAAATTTAAATTGTTAAAAGTGGTTCGACTTTGGTTAAGTCAAAGTACTAAAGATATCAGTTAGCAACATTCTTTAAACACTGATACATTTCAAGTAAATTTTTTATAAATTTTAGGAACTAGAACAGAATTTTATAGTAATATCACTCCTTTGCAAAGATTATTATTGTGTCTCAGGAAGACCTGAAATTTTTTCAAGTCACACTTCTAAATCACTCATTTTTCTACAGCATACTTGATATTAAGATAGAAGAGTAGAAATATTCAACAATCAAGATCTATTCAAAAGTGAAATCTGAAAAATACGTATTACTCTTATCATTTCAGATCTGGTTTAAGATCAATTACCGTTAATACATCATATACTTTCAACTTGACCAAAAAAAAAAAATCTGAACATATTCTCAGTTTTTCAAAAGCACGAAAACTGAACATTCTCAAAAGCCAATAAAAGCAGCAATTTCAAAAAACTTTAGAGGTACTACTTAAGCTACTTAACTGCATAGTGAGCCTGTGAATGTTGTCAGTCATTTAAAAAAGTTTTATACTACTATTACAACCCTTATTTATATTACAAAAGTTCTATACTACTATTTCAATACACCACAAAAACATATATATATATATATATATATATATATATATATATATACACAGTTTTGCCAGAGACAGTACAAGGGTCAGGGTGCTTGTCTTGCATGCACCAACCCCAGTTGGATTCCTGGCACCACATATGGTACATCACCAGGAGTGATCCCTGAGCAGTGCCATGAGTAGGTCGTGGGCAGCATCAAGTAGGGCCCAAACTAACCCATTCCTCAAAAAATACAGTTTTTAACGCAGAAAGACCAACCCATTCCTCAAAATATGTAGTTTTTAAATGCAGAAAGACTAACCCATTCCTCAAAAAATATAGCTAATGCAGAAAAAGTTAATTCCCAGAAAAATACTTCACACAGCAAGTTAGTCTCATATAAACTATTTGGAAATACAAAAACTAGTCTCAAGAGTTAAAACTGTTTAAAACTGGTAGTTTTAAAAATGGCAGTCTGGAATTCTTAGAACTTTGTTACCCTATTTGTCTCAAAATGGAAACCTGTATATGTGGAGATTAATAAAGGCTTATATTTATTGACGGCAGCTCTATATATGATGATAGATTCTTTGCATGTATTTTCTTACTGAATCCTAAATAATCTTGGAAGTCAGAGATTAAGACACATAATTTACTCAAGGAATGTCAAGGAATGTCAGGAGGGTGCATCTGAATCCAGACCTTAGACTAAAGGAACAGGAAAGAGAGAAAAGTGGTTGGGGGTATCACTGCTAACACCAATGTACAAAGGCATACCAGTTACTGGCAGAATATTCTCTGTTCCTCTACATATTCTGGAGTTTTCCATTCTTGTTAATAAGGAAATTACCTGTGAGCCTTTAAAACAAAATAAACTATTCACATGGGAGAGATGGTTCAAAGGGCTGTTCTGCATACTGGAGACCCAGGTTTGGTCCCCAGCTTCACATGATCCTTCCATTACAGCCAAGTGTGGACTCAAAATTTAAAAAAAGCATCCATACCACAGGCTATAACTCCAGTACTTGTTCTCAACTGGTCTGAGGTGGGCAAAATACTATTTTCTCCACAGTCCTCCAAGATAAAAATAAAATGGAGAATCGATAATTTCTGAGTACCTAGAATCAAGTTGACTGATCACCTCTGTGAGTACTTCATCTACTGTATTTTCAAACACTTGCCCAACAAAGTACTTAGATTTTCTTTTCCTTTACAACCAGAGCTACACCTTTTTAACAAAATATTACCATTTTTCTTTGACACTGGAACAGACAGGGAATCTGGGCAGACAATACTAAAAAAGTTTGAAAAGTCTTTTAATTGTTCATATACTCTTTAGCTTTTAAACACTGTAAAAAAAAAAAAATCCTGATTCATGGGTCCAGAGATAGTACAGAGGGTAGGAAGCTTGCCTTGCATTTGGCCAAGCTGAATCCATCCCAACACCACATATACTCCGGTTCCCTCTTCCCCTCCCAAGCAGTGATCCCAGAGTAGAGGCGGGTGTGACCCCCAGCCCCTACCACATAAGGAAAAAAAGATTAAAAAGAAAAATAGACCCTGAATCCAACTGAATAGCAAATGTACCAAAATGGTTGCAACGAAAGTCATTCTGTGATATACATTGAAGAATTAATATCCATGATATCTGTGTATTTCTTAATTCTGCTGGAAAAGCAATTCGGACTATTAAATAATTGTTATTGTGGTGGTAAACTGCATTGTCTTTCCATGGTGCCGGTGACAGCAATTATGCAGTGTTTTCACCCTGTTAAATCACCTGAACACAAACGAACAGGTGCTAAAGAAATCAAAGCATTACATAAGCACACTCAACAACATGGCTGGCCATGTCATGGACCGGAGCACTGGACTGTGCTGACAATCTTCTGCTCCGAGTCCTGATGTTTGGCTCCAAGTTCTTCACTGCATAGCACACACAGCTTCCTCCCAAAGAGCACAGTGAAAACTGGAGCGGGCCATCTCCAGACTGACGGGCCCTTCTGCTTTTTTCTTAAAAAGGCTGAAGTGAGCAGCTCTCGGACACGCGTGTTAAGTCAGGTCCACGAAGTTTGAACAGGAACTCAAAAATGAAAGGTGGGGGCGGCGACTTCCACACTTGATGCTGTGCAAAAAAAAAAAAAAACTCCCGGACTTCGCTGAGAAAAACATCACCAAACTTCCTGCTTCCGGACAGCTCATTACTGGGTTCCAGTCTTCACATTCCTGTGTTAGTCAAGGCCTCTCGTCCCCCGTATTGTTTGAATTAACACCGGACTTCTCAGGGTTGCTCATCTGCCTGCCAACCCACCAGGCAGGATGAAACCAAAGGAGCCAGCCCCAAGGAGAGCCTGGGCATCCAGAAAATCCCCCTCGAGGGTGGGTTTCGACTCAGCTGCAAACATCTTCAAAGTCTCTGGTTCATCTATTTCTTTCTCTCTCTCCCCCCTCCCCCCATGACCCCCCCCCACGTCGTTCACATTCAAGTCCAGGAACTCGCCCGGGGCAGAAACTGCAAGAAACTGACTAGACCTGTGGCCTGTGCAAAACCCAAAAAAAAAAAAAGGCACAGCAGACGCGACAACTGGGGACCCTCGCCCCCCTCCCCCCCAAAACCTCCCCGACTGTCACCCGGGGGTGGGGGGAGAAGGGGGTCTCCCAAGGCCCTGATCTGGCGGCCTCCAAGCCACATGTCACTTGGGCTCCGCGGAGGTGCAGCAGAGGGGAAACTCCTGGCAACGGTGGGGGCGCAGGAGAGGGCTCAGAGCGAGAGCACCCAGCAAGGGCAGACCCCCCAAACGCACGCCTAACCCCCCCTCCGGGAGGGGGGACCGACTCAGTCCCGGGCTTTTGGGACGGCCCAGCTAAACGGGGTGCCGGGAGGAGGGGGGAGGAGGGCGGCATGTGCCCCCCCCCCAACTTCAAAGACCTAAACCAATCCCAACCCAGCAAGTTCTCACTTCCTGGTCGCCGGCCGTCCCGACGCTCCCGGCCCCCGGCCCCCCACCCCTCATCCCCCCAGCCCCGGGACCCCGCGAGGAAGGGCCCGTCCGCCCGCGCCCTGCGCCCTGCGCCCGGCCTTACACGGTGACGTGCCCGGAGCCGCGGACCACCACCGGGTCCGGCGAGTACTTGAGCAGCTGCTCCTCCAGGGCCCGCTCCTCGTCCTCCTCCTCCTCGTAGATCTCGTCGAAATCCGCCATCCTGCGCCTCCGAGGCCCCCGGCCCCGCCGCGGGGCCTGATTCCGGGGGCTGCGGCCGGCAGCGCGGCCGGCGAGGCGGCGGCGGTGGCGGCGGCGGCGGCGGCGGCGGCTGAGGGGAGTCGCGGCCGCCGAGTTCGCTCTCGCCCCGGCGGGCTCGGTTGTTGTTTTTTTTTTCCTTTTACTGAGGCGATGGGGTCCCGACCGGCGCCGTCGCCGCCATTACCGTCAGCAATAACAACAACACAATGTCAACATCCGCCCGCGGGGCCGACACCTCCGCCAGCGCCGCCGCCGCCGCCGCAACTCGGGCAACCACAGCAACAGCCCGAACCACCCGCAGCGGGAGCAGCCGGCTACGGCATCGCATCGCGAGACTTCCCGGGAGTGCGCGCGGCCGCGTGGGCGCGTGGGCTCGCGGGCCGAAGGGCGCGCGCGTGCACGTGCGGCCCCGCGCGCCCCCGGGTCGCCGCCTTCCCTCGTCGACCGCCGCTTCCACCCGCCGCCGCGTGCGCGTGCGCGTGCGCGTGCGCGCGTGCCCGTGGTGGCCGCCCCGCCCTCTGGTCTCTGGTCTCTACTGGCGCTGGGCTGGGGTTTTGCAGAACACCCGGCGCTGACACCATCCCACGCCCAGCCTTGGGCGAAGGGAACCTGGAGTTCCGGGAACGGAGTTACCCACCACCCCCAGCACCATCACCCCCCCCCCCCAAGTCATCTCGCACCGAAACAACTCAAAATAAAACCCCTGTTTGGAAGAGAGAATGCATCGATTGCTTGTGATTGCAGGGTTATCTGATCATCTGATCTCTTTTCTTCTGTTTTGTTTTGTTTTGTGGGTCTGTGATGAGAATCAAGAGTCTGTACTTTCCCGCTTCGAGAAGCCCCACCGACATGCTGCAAACATTTCTGTTCACTCCAATGCAGGAATTTCTTAATCATATTCAAATGCAGACTAGCCCCATAGTCCCTTTAGAGTTTAACTTGTGAGGCTGGAGATGCAACGTATTTTGCTTTGTGTCTTCCAGGAAAACTCACCATAGTCGGCCTATAAAGCAAAATAGGCATTCTCTGCGTTCCAGATCCCAAGGTTTCGTTTCCTGTCCTAACTCACTCGTGGACCATAACCTTATTTTCTTCCATTAAAAGAAAGGAATCCATTAGACAATCCTTTTCCCTTGCAGTTCCTCCCATGAAAGGCACTGGGAAAGGGCTCCTGGGAATGGACTTCTGAGAAAGTCCTGGATATGCAGGACAGGCATTGAGGTAGAAATGGAGACTCCTCCTCGACCTAGAACTGCTGAGACTTCTCCAAGTTACAGCATTCATGTTCTGGCTGTTCACTGTAGATGGGTCATTGTTTAAGTTGAGAAAATGCCAAGGAGACCAATGAGGACATTGAGAAACACCAAACAATCCCCTATTGGAAGTGGTTGGAAGAAATGAGCATCATTGGCCAAGAAGAGATGATGGAAAAAAACGCTGCTGTAAACCTCCCCAGAGGACATTTCTTTAATTATTCATTCAACAAATATTTACTGAACTTCAAGTAATGTTAGGCAGTGTGCATGAGTGTGTGCACACATGAGAAAGACAGAGACAGAGAGAAACACGAGATGTAGTCCTTGACTTGTAATACCTTACCGTTAAGGCAAGCAAATAAATTGCAGCCAAGTACTCCCCAAAAGTAATTCAGAAGGTGTTCCGGAGCATTCAGGAAGTACCTTGGTTTGGTTGTAAACAATGGGTTCTGGAACCTAACCTGATGACCTGGTTTTGAATCTCAGTTGTGACCCTGGAAAAGTCATTCAAACACTCTGTTCCTCCTACAGAATAACATGTACTTAATAACTTATATATATGACTTAACATACTTGCAGTACTCACAAGAGATCCTGGGACAGACTGAGTTTGAAGCAGCACTGGGGTGCTCTAAGGCCACACCCAGCTCATCAACTCTGTGAGGAACTCTACAATTTCTGTATTTTGTGATGACTGTTTACAAAGCATATGCATAACATGTCATTAATATCCCCTGAGAACCCTCTCAAGTAACCAAAGAGGATGTAATTTATTCTTCCATTTCACAGATGTTATGCGACTTCCTCAGCTCAGTGACTCTTTCATGGTCAAAATTCAGGGCTTCACCTTCATGCCAACTCCATTAGGCCATGCTCCTGAGTTTCCTTCTTGGGAGAAACCAGGCAGCCAGAAACTGGCCTCCCGTTAAAGTTGATGCTGCAAAAAGAAGAAAGAGAAACCAGAAGAAGGAAGGTATGTTCCAGGAGTGGTCCACACTGGGTGTGTTGTGACTACTATTACCCCTTTCTGTAGAAACAGAGATGAGGATATGGGGGCTGCTGCCCCAGAGTATCTAAATCAGCCCCAAACTGACAATTCCCCAAGGGCAGAGGAAGTCACAAAGGGCTCCTTCAGTCTCTAGCACTATCCTGGGTTCCTGTCTCAGCAGAAAAAACTCTATGAAAGTTATCTGAATGGAGGCCTTTTGTTACGTTCAGGATATTATGAGTTAATTGGGCTGCTGAGGACAGTGAAAACTTCAGCCTTATCTTCACACTAATTTTGTGTGGGAGGCATGTTCTTATTCTAAGATCTGTACAACAGAGCCATCATTGTAACTCCCACTGCCTTGGTGGAAGGTGGGCTGCCTCATTTTCTGCTTCTCCTGGTTTGTTCTTTTTCCTGCTCTGAAAACCTGTCAGATCCAGCCACAGGGTGTGGGACCTAGGAACAGGGCCCAGAGGGTGAGGGATGATGAGTCAAACCGTTTCCTCCATGATCTGTTGACATCATATTTCTCAAATCTGCCCCCAATCCTCTCCACACCAGTTTCCTATAAAACATCTTCTGGGAGAAGAATCCTCTTCTCGGTTTCTTTCCACTTGATGTTCAGAGGCTTTTCCCCTCTCTGCTTTAATGAATTCCTATTCATTGACTTCCCCTTTTCACTCTTACCTCATACTCTTTCACAATTGCCTTCACTCTAGATGGCTCAAAACCAAACAGGATAAAACCTTGGTGGCCTCTTTTGTGAGGTAGCTGATACTCAATGGTTGCTTTGTTTGTTTAAGGCAAATATTACTAGACTTGAAAACACTTGCATTCTATCAATATTTAACTGGACGATCATGGACAAACTCAACTTCCTAAACTTCCTTTCATTCATCCTAAAACAGAACATGTGTCACAGGGTTAGCAATGATCCAGTGATAATACATATGCTTTCCCCAGATTCATCTATGGAATAGATGAATACTCAATGGGATATATTTAGAGGTAGGATCTTGCAATTGAAGAGATAGTACAACTGGTAAGGAGCTTGCCTTGCATGTACCCAATAACCTCCCTACCTGTCAGCCCATATCATTCCCCAAGCAGTGCCAGGAGTGAACCCTGAGCCAGGAGTTAACCCTCCCAAAAAGGTCCCATACACACAAAAGAACAGAAATAGGGTCTTTCAGAGGTAGACTTAGATGAGGTCATGAGTGCGGGCCCCTCACAAAAGTGAACAAAAAGTGTATACCTTTGACTGTTCCTTATCCCTCTCTTTTTCCACTACCCACCCAACCCCCACTCCACCCCCAACACACACACCCAATGTAAGGATAAAGAATGAATATTGCCTGCTATAAGCCAACAAGCATATTCTCACCAGAAATCATATTGGACAGATTCTTGATCATGAACTCCCTAGCAACCAGAAACTTGAGAAATAAAATTTCTGTTGTACAACAGATAGTCTTGCACATAGCTAAACTGAGTTCAATTCCCAGCATCCCAAACGGTCCCTCAAGCCCACCAAGAGTGAAGAGCCAGGAGTAAGCTCTGAATGCACAGCCAGGTGTCCCCTCAAAACCCAAACATTTCAAAAAACATAAAATTTCAGTGAAATTCAGTTATGGAAGCACATGCTAAGATGATATATAAGCTTCATTTGTTTACTCAGTCATTTAGACATTAGACAAATAACTGTTGAATTATTCCCACAAATCTAACTCCTGCCAGAAGCTTGGGTATAGCAATAGGAAGGAAACAAAATCTAATCCCTGCCTTCATGAAGGATAAAATGCCTGGGGGAGGTCTGAGACACATAAAATAATAAAATATTAGCATTGTGATCAGTCCTGTGGAGAAGTGCAGAGCACCAAGAGAGTGGTTAATAGAACTGACACTCTGAAAAGTCAAGATTTCTTTTGAGAAATGGCATTAAAACTAATATGCTAGGTGCTATACAACTGGAGGCATGGCCTCTCTGGTTCCTGATCGAACTGCTTAATGGCCATGATCCCAGAGACTCAGAAATGAATCTCAGAACCCAAAGGCTTTTGGCAGAAATGCATCCTGTTCCTGCAGTATGTTACTGGTGCTGGGCCACTCCAGGTGGGAATAGGTTTCGTGCCTTGGCCTGTTCCCCCTGGTGGCCTGGTGACCGCCATCCTCCAAAAGCCACTGGACAGTCAGGTTTAGGCCTGCAGTGACAAGACCACACAGGGCCTCACCAAATGGGGGTGGAATCGGTCCTTTCCTCCCCATCCCAACAAGACCCCAAGTCGCCGCCTACAAACAGCCTCTCTGGCTCTGGATCAAGCTGATTAATGGCCATGATCTGAGAGACTCAGAAACAAATCTCGAAACCCAGTGGCTTTTGGCAGAAATGCATCTGGTCCGCATACAAGGTGGCCGCCGCCTCAGAGCTTTTTGGAAAGACAGATATAAGCCGGCAGTGACAGGGCAACTGCAGTCTCATGGGAAGGGGGGGGCAGTACCAGCTTGTCCTTCACACCTTACTGAGGTCATGAGTTGCCCCCCACAAGTGGCTCTCTGGCATGGCTATGGCTCCAGAGGCAAAAGGACAATCCAGAGCCTGGCAGCTTGCGACAGAAAAGTGAATGGACCATGCATTAAACTACGGCACCATGCCTCCCCGGGAGGGAAAGGGTGTTTCTCCCTTCCGCCTTTCACCCCCCTGGTAGCAAGGTGGCCACTGCCTCAGAGCTTATTGGAAAGCCAGGTATGAGCCAGCGGTGATGGGGCAACTGCAGTCTCATGGGAAGGGGGGCGGTACCGGCTCGTCCTTCACGCCCTACCGAGGTCACGAGTTGCCCCACACACACACACCCAGGGGCGGCTCTCCGGCACAGCCATAACACCAGATGCACAGAAACCAATCTCGTAATTATCTGGCTCTTTGCAGAAATCCAAAATCGTGGCCACGTGACATTATATGATTCTCATAACCAGCTATAAAAAACAAAATATTTCACAATGCCTTTTCAGCAATTCTGATTGGGGGGGGGGGAGTTCTAAACAATAATGGTGCATCTTTTGTCGAAAGAATGAATGTAATCAATGTAGAGAAGAATTAAGTAGAAATCATCTGCCTCACAGGCATTGGGAGGGGTAGGAGGGGGGTATATTGCGGTTCTTGGTGGTGAAAAATGATTACTGGTGAA